CTCTCTGATCAGCCTGAATAGCCAGTTACGAATACACATTCTAAGACGTACCAATAGCAATTCTTGAAAAGTGCCTAAATCACTAAAAATGAGCTCGAATGACTGGATACATTTCTAAGGTAAAAATAAAATATTTAACTGGAATGGGTTGAAAACGAATATACTCTTGAGGAAATCCTCCCGCCCCTCCCACGGGCAGAATATCAAACGATTCTCCCCTTAAGAACCTCATACAATGAAATCAAGGACAACTGACTACAAATGTCGGAGATTTTATACCATGAAACTTTGATAGCTACAATATTTTTCAAAGATTTTGTATCGTCCTTTACTCAGATTGATATAGGAAGTTAAGGTAGATGTCTTGCTTTCAGAGGTAGTCGAAGTCGAGACGAGGCGCTGAAGATAACGAAAAGACTGAAAACTTTATACGGTCCATTCAGTCAAAACAGGTATGGAATATCAATTTGCATGACTAATTCTTTTCGTTCGCTGTATCAGCACACAAGAATAAACGTGAAAACTAGATTTTGTACTAGTATTCATTCAAAAAAATTATTGAAATATGAATTTAGTGGGCAATATAATTTAAACGGTTCATAAATTATTTATTCCAGATAAAAGCATAAGACGGAAAACGATTTACAATAATCATGTATTCTGCTGAATATAGTCCTATGGTCTAAATTACAGAAATGTCTTTTTTTTCTGCTGTGAAACTGTTTAAGATTCTTCGATAGAGATTGTTTTTCTTGTAATTAGAACAATTATCATTTGCAAACTGTTTAATCAATTACAATAAAGACTTTTCATATCGATAACAGGAATTCCGGGAAAAAATGTTTACAAATATAGTAAGTTAATTTGAAGAATAATTAAAACTGTGTATAAACGCCTACATAATTAGAACGAATTAGTACGTCTTCCTATGTATACACTACAAATCAATCTTTTCCTTTCAGATGCTTTCACCACCATCTCAGATTCTATTGCAGGTCGGAGAAGGGGAATTAATTCACAGCATTTAAAGTGATATGAAACTTCAGATTTGAAAAAAATTGAATATAAATGGCTAAGTTTTACTATACAACAAATGTGCGTGAACTTTCTTGTAGAAGAACAACCTTTATATTATCAAAATCTTCATAAATGTGGTGCTATTGAATTATTCTCTTCCCATACACGAGATCTCACGTTAGAGATTCTTACCCAATCCAATTATTGTCTTCCCATACACAGATCTCACGTTAGAACTTCGTCCACCGCACAGCGCAAGTCCGAGGGGAAAACCGTGATGAAAGAATGTAACAAACTTGCAGTGGAAGTTGAATAGTAATACTAAAAACTGATTCTGAAAAAAAAACAAATTTAATACAACAATCATTTAACAAATGTTAAGGAAAAGTTTAGTTAACAAATGGGAACGCATGGAAAATATCCAAAAAATTTGCTTGGCTCTATCAATTCACTTATTTGTCACGTGCTACACGTGCTCTGTGTTGATTGTTATCAATGTTCCGACCGGTAAACTTCGGCAACAAACCCGAAAGTTAATACGCTAGCGAGCAACAATCACTGAATGAAATATATTTTGTCAATAATACATTATAGATTCGTAATTAGATATAAGAAACGTGCATACAGGACTTAGTTTAGTATATAAACATGCATTGGATCAATAATTATAATAACATTAAAATTACAAGAAACTCGTTGCATATGACTTTAAACGTTATCATATATATATATAACTGAATTGATATGATGAGTTTTTTTTTATTAGCCTGAGAAAACAATCGGAGTAAACAAAGAGTAATGTGTCTCCTGATACTTTGAAACAGTACCGTTTCTTGTTTTGCCAGCAACCAAAGTCTCAAAATGCGAGAGCTAACTATTTATATAAAGCTTTATATTTCAGAAGTTAAAAGACTCGAATACTTCATCTCTTGCAAATCGATGCCTTATGCTACGACGTTTCTGTCTGTCATTTGTCCAAAGTCTTTGGTCTCATTTTCATGATCAGCGTCTGCTTAAAAAAAGTTCTTTTCGCGTTATTATGTGTAATGGGATTTGGAATCATTTCAAAGTTAACATGTCCGTCAGACAAGGTTCACCTGACCTTGACCTCTATTCATGAATTAGTTATAAAGTTCTAACTATATTTAGTGTATGGAATGATTGATTGGTGTACATGTTCGTTTGGCAGGTATGAATGACCTTAACCTCTACACGGATCATTGATAAAATTTAGTTTATGTGATACTAGTTTGAAAACCTTCTATCAAAGACTTTAAATACACATTCGAGCATGATCAACAAAAGTAGACGAGACATTTGAGCGTGTGCACTCTTGTTATCCTTTAATTCGAATTTCATTTATTTAAATGTCTTTATTGATTAATTGATAGATGGCAGGTTCTTGCTTAACATCGAGTGGAAATATTTCATTCATTTATACAGTGCGATACATTTGTTAAATTTGGTTGGAATGTAATTAATGTAAAATACAGATTTAAAAATTTATTGTAACTTTGTTATTTTTGATCGGCAAGAGAGATTATTAAATGATTTGGGCGGTCATTTTTACCGACGTTTTAAACATGCAAAGGATTACTTCTTTCCATAAAAATATCTGTCGGCGTATTTGTTGTCTTTACAATAAAGTAATATATACCGCTGTCGTTATAACTGCCTCCTGTCAAGATTTGTTTGTCTTTTAAGTTATAACAAAAGTCAAATCATGTCTTATACCCCCGCTTTCTAAAGACGGATATAGTGAGGGGGGTCCGTCCGTTCGTTCCTCCTTCTGTCCAACTCTTTTTTACTGAACTGCTTCTGGACCGCTTGTCAGAATTTTGTAAAACTTTCAAAGAATCTTATTACGTTGACTTACACTTGCACCTCCTATTTCATTTCTTCCTCTGAATGATTTTAGGTTTACTTTGGATGACACGGACTTCGGTCATATTTGCACACTATAAAGTTCACTTGTGTATCTGCTTTTCTTTATTAATCCATAGTCATGATTTAATGAAACTTTTTCAGAATCTTAACCATTTAATGCCATTGTGCATATATTGATTTTTTGGGGGTTCTCTTACCAAACATGGACTTTGCCATTGTTTATTTTGGGACGTAAAAATTTTGAATCCGCAACTCCTTCTTATCCCATTTGTTCCAAGACAGTTTAGTGAAACTGTCCCCACAACCATATTTTTTCTACTAATATTGTTCCCAAAAGGGCAGACGTTTCTTGACGAACATATCCTCAAACTATATCAAGTCTACATTTTAGTTGATTACTATGCTTAATGGAAAGTTGACTGTTTCGACTTTTCAATAGGGCCCTGGTCCTCAAACAATTAATGCAAAAGGTAGCACAGTCTGTATCTTATAGTCTGCATCTCATAGTCGGTAACTTATAGCAGTTTTCAAAAGGTGGCATAATCTGTATCTCATAGCAGTTTTCAAAAGGTGGCATAGTCTGTATCTTATAGTTTGTATCTCATAGTCTGTATCTTATAGCAATTTAAAGAGGTGTCACAGTCTGTATCTTATAGTCTGTATCTCATAGTCTGTAACTTATAGCAGTTTTCAAAAGGTGGCATAATCTGTATCTCATAGCAGTTTTCAAAAGGTGGCATAGTCTGTATCTTATAGTCTGTATCTCATAGTCTGTATCTTATAGCAGTTTTAAAAAGGTGGCATAGTCTGTATCTCATAGCAGTTTTCAAAAGGTGGCATAGTCTGTATCTTATAGCAGTTTTCAAAAGGTGGCATAGTCTGTATATCATAGCATTTTTCAAAAGGTGGCATAGTCTGTATCTTAAAGCAGTTTTCAAAAGGTGACATAGTCTGTATCTTATAGTCTGTATCTCAAAGTCAGTATCATATAGCAGTTTATAAAAGGTGGCACAGTCTGTATCTTATAGTCTGTATATCATAGTATGTAACTTATAGCAGTTTTCAAAAGGTGGCATAATCTGTATCTCATAGCAGTTTTCAAAAGGTGGCATAGTCTGTATCTTATAGTCTGTATCTCATAGTGTGTATCTTATAGCAGTTTTCAAAAGGTGGCATAGTCTGTATCTCATAGCAGTTTTCAAAAGGTGGCATAGTCTGTTTCTTATAGCAGTTGTCAAAGGGTGGCACAGTCTGTATATCATAGCAGTTTTCAAAAGGTGGCATAGTCTGTATCTTATAGCAGTTTTCAAAAGGTGACACAGTCTGTATCTCATAGCAGTTTTCTTAAGGTGGCATAGTCTGTATCTCATAGCAGTTTTCAAAAGGTGGCATAGTCTGTATCTTATAAGCAGTTTTCAAAAATTGGCATAGTCTGTATCTTATAGCAGTTTTCAAAAGGTAGCACAGTCTGTATCTCATAGCAGTTTTCAAAAGGTGGCATAGTCTGTATCTTATAGCAGTTTTCAATAGGTGGCATAGTCTGTATCTCATAGTCTGTATCTTATAGCAGTTTTCCGCTTTTTCAAGGTATTTTAGAAAACAGATTAGAAATTTGCTGGTTAGACAACACACTTTTTTTATTTTATTTTATTTAGTTTTAGAACATTAAAATCAAACAATGCAATCAAATAAAACACATTTGGGGGGTTTCATCCTGGACTTAAATATTCTAGTTTTAAGCCTCTCAGTGCACATTTATATACATAGTATACAACTACTCGTGATCTTTTATTTGCACATTTCTCAAATAGATGGAATTCCGGATTGTGCATCTTTGCAACTGATGAGCGATATAATTATTTATCAAGATATTTGAAGAAGAAAAACACAGTAGTTTAAAATTTATGACAAACGCAGTTGTAAGGATTGCGTGTCTTAAAAAATGAATATAACGCATAATTTTATATACTGGAAACAATACATTATTTTTATTTTTTAATCAAATCCACGATTGACACTTTAGCTTGAATTTGTTCAATATAGTGTGCAATGTTCCGCGTCGTAGTTTATTTGTCTTGTTAATACTATAAAAATCACCATTATTGAAAAACTATGTTGGTGTATCGCTCTGATAAACAAATGAACTCAAATAAAAAGGAATGGGGAATTCGTTAAAAACTAAAGGTAAACATGTTTTCACGAGAATCATTTTTTATTACTTTTTACATAGCCATGTGCATATAATTAAAAGGGGTCAAAATATTTAATCCCACATGGTCACTTTGGTTTTCCTCCGACCGGCAGAAAAACCCTCGTCAAAATTGGGCGTTTGGCTATGCGGGATTTATAAGTACGCAGCCACGTCCGATCCGAACGGGAACGTTAAATAGAATGTCTCGTGTAGAGAGAGTGCAACCCTTGCAATAACTCTTTCAGGGGTCTGTCTCGACATGTTGCACGGCAAAATTTCTTTCCCTATCCAATATATACCCTCATTTTTCCAATGGCAGCCCAAATTTCCCCAACCTTCATCCCGAACGGCCTCTATGACAGGACCTACCTATTATAGTTATTGTTAATTTGTTCTCGTTCTGAACATGCATGAGATATTTGCCACTGGACGTTGAGTAAACAAAAATCAAACAATTATCAAAAGTATTTACATTTTATAGTTTTAATCAATACAATATCTTGCGGAGCCAGGTTAACAACACTGTATAAAATCCCGTAACTATTTGAATTTTCAACGTTTGACACTAAGGTCATCTTATAGTTTTTATTGTAAAAGTTCTTTATTTATCTTTTTTTTATGTACAAAAAGCAACTTACGAAGTTGACTATTCTTCCGTTCCGCTGTCAACTGAAACAGATTCGGAGGACGATGTTCTGTATGCAAGTAATTCAAGCAAAGGGAACGTCAGTATCAAAAGGGTGTCGTACAACCAACAAAAAATTCAGTACTGCAGCAGACGAACTCGAGTGGGAATACTTTGTCTGGTCATTGTGGTCATTGTCATAGTGGTTGGTATAGCCGGTAACCAGGGGTTTAACAAAACATCAGCCCCTTCAGTACAATCAGTCAAAGGAATTAATTCTTGGAAAAAGAAGTTGGATGTCACAAGTAAGTTACGCGAGAAGATATAAGATTTAATTCATTGTGATATTCCAGTGATGATTTTTTTTCAATGAGAGGAGCTTCGTGTAAATGTAATTGTTAGTAAACTAGAAAGACAATTTGATAATAGAAAAATTAAATTCAGGATGATTTTCATTTTATACAGTATTGGATTGTTTTTATTTTTTTATTTATCATTCATATTGGTAGGGAAAATCTATATAAGACCCATTGGTGGCTTTGGGCTGTTTTCTGCTCTTTGGTCGGGGTGTTGCCTCTTTGACACATTCCTCGTTTCCATTCTCAATTTTTATTATTGTATCATTTGGTTGATGTTTTGTACTATGTGCTATATGTTGATATTTGGTTCACCTACATAGTGGGAGAGGCTGATGCAGCCATCCGTTTAATTGATGTAGATGGTGATGGTCTAGAAGACATTATTATAGCTGCAGGTCCCGATTCAAAACCGTCTCCTCCAGATAACAAGTACGACATAGAGTGTAAAAAAATAGGTATGTTATTTAATGTATAAATACAGTTCAGCTACCCGACCTTATACTATTCAGCAATCTTGTATTTGCTATGTGATTGATGGATCGTTGCCTGCTTAACGTTCAGTGCAGGGTAATTGTTTCATGCATATTCAGGACGAAAAAATTTTAACAATTGATTTAAAAGAAAGGTTCTGCAAAATGGAACGACTTGAATGAAGAACGGGAAATTTGGACTTCGTTATTTAAAAGTCTATCTGCATGACTTTCACTGATGACTTTGTAAAGTGAAGACAAATAATTTAGCCAAATTATCCACTATTCAAATGATACGATATTTCATGTAGTGATAACACTATTCAATTTTCGACCGAATATTATCATTTTGTTGTATCCTAATAGGTTTCAGTAATAGTTCATAGTTATGCCATATATATTGGATTCAATGTCACAAACGTCTATATATTATCAACAATAGCAAAGTTACAGCACTTCAAAATTTCTCGATATCATTCTAGAATTTCATCAGCATTTTATTTGGGTTTTTTTTACGTTTAATATGCATTTCATTGTTTTTATCAACAAATAGAACGGTGAAAGGAGAAGGAGACCCAACATATAACTTGTATTAAATTCAAACAATGGTTTGTAAGAAATAATGAAAGCGTTTCTTTTTTTGTAATTATATATCGCATATAGGATAGTTGAGAGGAGAGAAGATTTATTACTATTTTTTTAAGAAGCAATATATTTTAGAAATCGTTACATTATAATTTGGTTTCTTTCTATGAAATTATTTTATGTGGAAACTATACTATATGTAAATGCAGCTAAAATATTGATACAAGCATTTTTTGGCAAAATATTTACATACAGTGCTGAATAAGCAGCATAAAAAATACTTGTAAAACTCTGATTGTAGGTTTAGAAGCACCATGCTATGGGAATATCTACGCATTACGGGGCACCGATGGTACTCTGTTATGGAATATGAAAACGACGACGATTGCTTTATTCTTTAACTGCGTTGATTTTGATGTCAACCTTGACGGACAATTAGACTGTATTGCTAGTGGTCGCTTTGGTGTGCTCGTTGCAATCAACATAAAAAATGGTATTATTTTATAAACTTTCTCATCATTAAATGCTTATACTTTTTTTGTGGAACTACATTGCATTTAATGGCTTGAAATCTCGTATGAAACGACAGCACGATTTATATTTGCAATCCAAATTATTTATTCCCTGTAATTGGTTGTCTAAAACTATGTCACTCCATTTAAGATAGCTATATAATATATGAAAATGTTATGTTAAACCGCAGTGCAACCAATGACATAAATGTTCTTCACTTTGCCTTTAAACCATGACAGCTGCCACAGAAAGTTAAGTTCCTCGTGATTCCTGAAATTCCATTTTCCCCAGTGGCAGATGAATTTTTCTTCTCATTCTCCTTTCTTATGGTTTGAAGGCTGATTGTTTAACTGCTCACCATGAATTTGCCTATGATATTGGAATGAGCAACAAAAAAGAAATTGTATTTGTTCATGGCAAGCCTTTGGAACTAACACATTTCACTGATTTATAACCATCTCATCCAGGTTCAGTAATTTGGTCAGCCGACAGGAAGATCATTAATACACAATGGAATGTTTTCCATGTTGCAAAAATACAAGACATTGACGATGATGGCGTACCGGAAATGGTCGTTGCAAATGGTGGGGATACTACATTGAGACCTCAGGTATACTATAAGATTCCTCTGCAACTTAATAGCAGTATTTGTAGATAGATTTAAATTCTGTCATTTTAATTTGCATCATAGGTAATTGATGTTTAATGTTTAAAAAAAGTTTTCAGTATTTGAAAATAGTCTTCTTCTCAAATGATTATAATTTGATTTATAGCGCAACGTCTCTGTTCGTTCCGCCAGAATTGAACTTATCAGAATGGCATAAAATTTAAGGCCATAATTATTCCAACATATCTGCCTTAGGTGAATTATTATAAATGATACTGAACCGCAATTTCGTTGCGAAATCCGATGGTTTTTCACAGATTTGCAGATTTTTTTAAACTGGCCTAAGGCATCGATTAAGTCAATTGGTGTTATTCGAAATCCAATGGCCTAGTTATCAACATTAAAGATTTACCCATATATCACTAGATATTGACTGGAGAATTGAGCAATTATTCATAATTAGGCTAGTAACAAACGCCTTTTTACTTTATAAAATAAAACAACTGAAATAATCCCCTTCTTTGTGAATGGACTGTGGGAAGATAAAAAAAAAAAGGGGGGGGGGGGGTTAAAATTATTAAGCTTGAATACAAAACTTCCAATGTTAAAAAAATAGCGTTCAAAAAGTATTTCGGTTTTTATTTTCATATGTAACAGAATTAGTAAATGATCTCCTTTTTTAATGTTACGAGTCATAGTTCATAAAACATTTTGTAGTCAAGAGCAGTAGAATAGTCAAACTAAATAGTACAGACGAGGTTTCTGTTAATTCCAATCCATACATAAAAAGTGATGAAAACTACTACTTTCTAATGTTTCCAATATAATTTCCAGAAAATATAAAATGTTATGTAATTGTTCAAGTATTTTTTTCTAGATTTATTTATCAACCTTTTAGACATAGCAAATGCATTTTGTATAAAAAAAAAACACCTCCCGAACACAGTTTCCCAAAACCTTGAAATCTCTATGGATAATGAGTATATACACATGCAATTTGAGCACTGGTATCATGGCAACTTTTTCCTGTTTATTCTTTTACATTCGAAGTAACATAATTTTTATAACAGCTTAGTTATCAAGTGAATACGAAGAAAATTTCGTTCGTTTTATGATTTCGTAACTTACTTACCCAAATTTTATTTGAGGTGAAGAGATATAGTCATCTGATCTTCTCCAATCCAGCAGTAAAACCCATGCTAAAAATGATCGTCAATTTAGTATATGCGGGATGGATGTATAAATACGAAACCATGTCCAGTCGGAATGGGGACTAAATTCGGTGTATCATGTATGGAAAGTGCCAAGTTCTTTTCCCGTTAAAACAAACTTTTAGAATGGTTCGCTTGTAGCCTTTGCAAGGAATTATTTGAGTCTCTATCAAACACACCTTCTGTTTCCAGCGGCATTCTAAATTTCTGTCATTCAACCCGGTCTACTCACTTTGCAGAACTTGTTTATTGGATTATTTGGATTTAAAATACGAAGATTTCCGACATTTTCTACCTTATTTAGGTCCTCAATTGACGGCTGTAGCTGTTTGCATCTTACTTATCTCGATGTGCTGTCTTCATCGGGCTCTTCATGAAGTCTCATAGGACTATTTTACCCGATTTATTTTTAAATATAATTTTTTCTTTTTGGTTTTATCTGTTCGACACCATTTTTCGTCCTTAAATAGATGAAACTTCCATCTTACTGAATTTATTACTACGAATCGGTAAAACAACATTAATAGCTTCGCTTTTTTTACATATCTAATTTATCAACTCTACGTTTACATCTCTTATCCAAATCTTTTTTAAAAAACAAATTAATTCGCGATTTGATGAAACATACGTTTGTTATAGGTTACAAAAAGGTTGAATATCAAAAGCATGCTTTACTTTTAAAACACAGCTTAGTCAAACATTATAGAATGATGTAGAAAATTATCTTGTTCAATGCTTATTCCTATATAAAAATAAGGTGATGTGGTGTGATGGCCAATGAGACAAATATCAACAAGAGTCCAAATAATGTGGATCTAATTAAGCAACTATATAGCACCAGACCGTATTCAACATTGAGCAAAACCCATATTGTATAGGCCCTGACATGACACAATGTGAAACAATTCTTACGATAAAAAATCAACAGAAAAAAACTATTATCAAACATGAGAGACAGTAACCAACGAAAGCCACTGAATGACAGACTCTTGACTCGGGCGCTTAACCCTGCCCCTAACCTTGGACTGTGGTGTTATAGCACTATACAAGAACAGCTACTGAAAGCTAGTTCAAAGCCAATTACAACTAATAATTAAATCATAGTCTCCCTAGTTTTGAGATAATGTCTCAAAAATGTATAAAACTAGTACTGAAGGTAATTCTGAGTATTTTTGTCTCGAATGAAACCATTCGCATTCAACATATGAAATCATTCTGGCATCTGTATCCTTTTTGTGGTAAAACTAGCTTTAAAATGCAATCACGGCTTTATTGAAAACTACTTAAAATATATGAGATACAGATGACATGCTATAAAGTCATTATCATGTCATGGATAGACAATTTGATGGTCGATTCAGACTATACTTACACACAAAAAAGAGATTTAGAGGTCAACATACGGTCCCCACCACGCGATAAGTGTCTTATATCGGTATTATGTAAATTTCAGTGCGTCCAGAATCCACAAAAAAGTAGTAGGAAAATTTATAAAAGACTATCAAACATGTGTAACCTCGCCACATCCTGGTCGAGTCCAAGTCAGAAGCCTGTAATTCGGTGTTTGTCGTTTGTTGCTTTAAATCACATTTGCTTTGTTTTGTACATAAATCAGGCCGTTAGTTTTGTCGTTTTAATTGTTTTACATTTTTCATTTTTTGGGCTCTTGTAGATTGCTATGCGGTTTGTGTGTGCTAATAGTTGAAGGTCGTACGGTGACCTATAAAGTTGCTAACTTTTACGTCATTTGTCTCTGGTGGAGAGTTGGCTCATTGGCAACCATATCACATCTTATTCTTATATCAAAGACCTATCCTTTAATTGCGAATGATACCTTACGACCTATACTCAAAATAGTGTTGAAAAAAGTTCCATTGGCTTATGATTGTTTTGTAACATTGTATGTTACAAAATAGAAAGGAAATGGTTTAAACTAGTAAATTTATTGATAGAGAAAGTATGCACGCATGTACGACGTGTGTTTCTGGAATTATCTTCAGAGACTCAGTTTGTAAAACCACAAATATTATACTGCAAAATCAGTTTTACAACCATTACATTATTCATGAATTGATTATTTACATAGATAATAGCATGTCAATACTAATCATACCAAGATAATGGTAACTATGCGTGTGGTATCCTCGGGTTGTGTTAATCCACAAGCAGACAAGCAGTTGTACCAAAAGGAGTAGTAAATAAAAAAACACGATACCGATTCAGTGAGAACGACATGTGTTTCCGGAATAACCTACACAAGGTGCGTTAGGCACAGAGTGTGTAAAGCCATAGTAAATGAAAACTTTAAAGAGCATTAAAACCAAAGATATCGTAAACAAAACATACCATACCTTTGAAGCTCCATTTGCTTGAATGAGATGCAACTTGTACAATTTATAATTTATGTGCTGGAAATTTACACACAAAATGAATTATTTTAAAAATCATGCCAATATCGATATATAATCATATTGTGCTTAATATTGTTGTTAATGATGCCCTTTATGGGTTCTTGATTAGATTAATAAAATTCTTATACCCTCTTATACCCTTTATATTTCATAATATAAATATCATATCTGCTTTTTCTCTCCTCCGATTTGCGGTACTAACTTTTTTTTAAAATTCACATTCCAAATGATTATATGTATTTGTTGATTACAATTATGACGATTAATGACTCGTGCTTTTGTTGAAATTCTTCATTTAAGGAACATAACCGAACCTCTGGTCGACTTGTAATGTTGTCTGGTAGGACCGGGAAGATGGTGGGTCACCGTTTCCTGAATATCCCTGACAATAAGGAAACTTATATGTCACCTATAGTATACAGAACTACAGACGGTTCTCGGTACATCTTGTTTGGTAGTGGTGGAGAAACTATATCGGGTAAAAACATATTACCGACTTTTGACTCCCGAATACATACTTTTTCGGTGCAATTTGGGAAAAAATCTACTATTTTTCGATGATTTTGTCGTGTGTTATAAAGATAAAACATTTAATTTTCCTGCAAATTGCAAGTGGTCGATTCAAAGAGGGGGGAGGCGTAGAGGTCGTACTTTGATGGGGAAGTATATCAATGTTTAAGCATAAAATACTTTTTTTTAAATTTCGACTCACTTCGCTTGACAGTATATATATTCCGGAATTTTAAAAATACTGGACCCAACAACAGATATTACAAAAATGCATCTAAAGGGCATTGTATGTAGTCTTTATCTATAGACGACTCTTGTCTGTTTTTATAATTTGTTAAGCGTCATGTCAAATTTTCAAAACCAACCAGTCAGCCACGAAAGAAAAAAAAACAATAACCCTTCCCTAATATTCTAAACCCGCATGCCATTTGACTCAAAAACATATTACTCGGTTTCAAAATTATTTTTTTTAATTAAGGACTCGTTTTCATTGAACGAAAAAAAACACCTTTATCTATTTTGAAAAAATATCTAATAGTAAATGGACAGAGAATATAAATTGAAACAAAAAGATATGGCAATCTACCACATGTAGAGCCGTTCTAGAGCGTCAGAAATGTGTTATGAAGAATAACCCCAACTTCCCAATTTTTTTAGAAACTTTAGAAGTCGAACGTTAACTTTTTATACCCAGGGCCTGAACGAGAGGCCAATTAAAACGGATCTCAACCGTGCGACAAGGCAGCGGGAGTTCCATATAATGCGGAATGTGTTCTAAAGAGGGACACCAAACCAAACAGATCCGCCGAAATTAACAGCGATCGATGTTCAGATGTGTCACCAGGACACACGCTCCATCATTTCAATGCACTTAAGTTGTATATAAATACAACAATTGTATTGCAGTTTAAATGTGAGGTATTGAATGATAGAAATTTTTGCAAAATTCTTGTCAAACATGATGTTGTGTTCAATTTGAATGGACAAATATACTGATAATTTTAATGGTTTATACTACCTCAAAATCAAAAATAAGAATCAACGAATAGTATTGATTAAATCGATAAATATATAAAACTTACAGAGTTGCTTCCCTGTAGCCTATAACAGTATTACGGTGTTTACGCTAACAAATACAGCTTAACTTCCACAAGAAAAAGTTTCATATAATTTCTTATTTAATAGAGAAGTAAATTGACCTTAAATATTCTTTTTCGTACGTATCGGTTCAACATACATAATTGCGCATTGTATTGGTTGATGGAATTTAGTTTATTTTTAGTTGGGATTTTTCCGTTGAACGGGAGATAATCCAATTTGAACCATGTTGAATCGTCTTAGTTTAAAAAAAAAATAAAAACATAATATGAAGGAATTTATTTTTTAGGAATCTTACTGAATATTCAAACGAATTAATTTATCAAACTGACACTGGTTGTTTGTTTATGTTGAATTATTTTCAAATGTATAGTCGATGTCAGCTGGGACAATTATCTAACATAATATATTAGTCCTAGTTTAATATACTAAACAAACAAAAACATTCTCATATAAACCAGAGTACATGTATGTCTCTGTCATTACAAAAAAGGAGAATAAGTTATAATTGTATTCGATTCTAGCAAATCCTAAACTCATACACGAAAGCTAGTTTAAAAATCAAAAAGTCATGTTTATCATGAAAATAGAAAAGTTTGTGCAAAAAGTATAAGAAAATATAAAGAAAATAAAATATCTGCTTCTCTATGAAATTATTAAAAAAATATTTCGACAGGTAACTTGATGATGATTTCGTTACCAGATTTCTATACTTACATCAGCAATGGTTCAAAACCTGTTGAATTTGAAGGGAAATACAACCAATGGATACAATATAAAGGCATGACAAATAAAGACACTGGCATATTTACTTTGCATCGGTAATATATGATATATACAGGGTAGTAAAATGTTTAGGAATAGTATCGGATTATTACTTGACAGTAACTGTTTTCTCTCCATCTCTAGGTCATGATATCACACAGAGAGCTGAAGGCTCGAGGACTAATAATACATCTTGAATTAAAAATATCATTGCTTAAAAATGTTCTACTTAAAACGTATCAATCCCAACAACACAATGTATGCTGCAAGTCAATAATATAGACAGTTGAATATATTTAATGATATTAAAGAAAATATAACCGTAGATTCTAGAGATTTCACAATGATGCTTTCGTACTGACAAAAAAGTATAAAAAAAACCATTTAAATCGTGTATGTAACAACGTATTAGAATTTAACGAAAGAAATCTCTGTATTAATGACTAATTATTACACCAGGGTTTTCGATATCACAAACTTGTCAAAACTTTTACTAAATTTCATCGTCGGTACAAGGACATCATTCGAAACTATAAGTCAACGTGCAGACATCTTATACGTTCATGATGTTTTTACATCCCATCTTTTATGGTATAATATTCTATACAGAGCACAAAAATATCGCCTTTCACCTCAAAAGCTAACCACACCTTCAAACCAGACTTATTCAGAAGGGATATGGTTACGATACGGTTGTCAAGTTATTAAAGATGGATTTTTTTAAGATTAATATTGATTCACTCATAGGGTCTTTGTATCGGAAATAAACACATTTATTCTAAAACCAGTTGTTGGCATGATACAGGTTATCATCGGTTCTTCTCGTATAATCTATGATGGCATGATACTAAACTTCTAACGGGAGGGATTGTGGTTAATTTTCATATGATGAAGACATACTTTTTCGATCAGTTTAAATGAGGTCTGGAGCTGGCATGTCATTATCTGCTAGTAGTCCTTTGTTAATTCATGTTGATCATTGTCATTTTGCTTAGATTCTTCTGTTACCTATTCTAACATCAGACTCGGACTTCTTTTAAACTGAGTTTTACTGTGCGTATTGCTGTGTGTTTGTTTGTTCCATATTGGCTAGAGGTATTACGGTAGGGTTTAGATCTAACTTAACATGTTTAACATCGCCGCATTTTTTGCGCCTGTACCAAGTCTGGAATATCTAGCCTTTGTTAGTCTTTTGTGTGTGTTTTTTTTTTTTTGGTTCATTTGTATGTTTTGTAGTTTAAAGTGGCGTCCATTTCGCTGAACTAGTATACATAACAAACGTATACGAACAAGCATGCGACAGTTTTATAAATTTTTCATATCTGCCGCTTAGCACTGTTTCGGGAATTATGGAATTTACGTAAATTTAATGCTTTTATCATACTTCTAAAATTTTATTTATATTTAGTTACAGTATACTATAATTACAATAAATAAATTTAGAAAAAAATATTTACAGCATGTGTTTCTTTCCTTTTTCCCGCGGCAGAATGACTTTTGCATGTCAAAGAAATAACTACATGGTTGGCCCATTAATGACCTCATAATGATACATGTATGTCCTTTATCAAAAGTTAATATCCAAAACTCAAAAACTCCTTTAAATACAGGTGGAATGCCCTGCAAATGTTGGCTGTAACGTCACACAGAAATGTTAACACATATATCCAGTAGTTTAAGTAAACAATATGTGTTTATGCAATTAGAATAACTAAAGATTCAGATAAATGCTATCAATTTTTGTCTTTACTGAATAACATGTGATTCTTAATTGCTAAGGCGTATTACTTTGTTAAACAAACACCAAATTTGTTTATAGAATATAAGCAGACGTGCATTATAGCTTTTTCATTGCTAAATATAATTTTTGATGTAAACATGGTAATATAAAAAAAACAAACACTTAAGGGGTATCAAAGCTTGATATATTTGTTCCAAATAATCAGTCAATTAATTGCTTGATTTTTGGGGGGTTTTACGCCACTTTCAGCACTATTGGCTATTTCGTGGTGGCCAGTTGATATTAAAGGAAGAGAACAGAACCACATACCTTCTGCAGGAAAACTAGCAATCCTAGTCAATTTAAAAGATTGGACTCGAACTCACCTGCCACGTGCGGGTCTCAATCTCACAACCCCCGTGTTATTAGGTACAGTGGTTGAACTTGGGCTACTTAGACCACTCAGCCACCGTGGCCCTCTTTAAACAATCGAGGAAAGCTATAAACGACAATGCTGTATCATCTTTAAATGTTTTATCATAAATATTTATTTCAGCGGGAATAATAAAGGAGTAATTGTACCACCTGTAGTAGCAGATGTTAATAATGATGGTTTCCACGATATCTTGATGACAGCCTTTCAAGGTCAAATGATTTTATACAGTGGTAAAGACTTGTCGCTTTTGTGGAGGAGAGAGTTTCCAAATATGGAAACATACACGTAATTTATTTATATGTTTAAACCTTTTCCTGTAAGCTAAATTAGGATCAGGATGGGGTTTACAGAATATAGAATAATGGGTAAAAAAAAAACAAGAGAAAATAGGCCAAAAGTAAAGATTAGAGAACAAAGGGGCGGAAAAATATAAAGAATAGAGAACGATGGACAAAAGATATACAGAGTAAAGAAAAATAACCTAAACATTTAAAGAATACAGAAATGAAATACCCCTCAGCAAGACTCTCTAAAACGTGACCCAAGTATCATTTTATCTTTACATTAGACAATTGGAATTATTTTTAGTTTATCTTTCTACAATTACTTCTCTTCTAAGACTTCCCTAACAGCCCCCTTATAACTTATTGAAAACTAACATTCTATATTATCCCTTATATCATGGTATACCTGAGATCTATACTAGGAGTCAGTTTCACAAAAAAACTTACGACTAAGATTAGTCGTAAGTATACTGAATTGTTCATGACTTAGTCGTAAGATTTTTTTGTGAAACCGACTCCTGAATCGTAGTCCAAATAATTATGACGTCTTGTAAGGCTACTAGTATTTAATTCCTAGGAAGGCGTCACAACAAAAAAGTGAAATAGCCTTACAAGACGTCATAATTATTTGGACTAACTGAAACGGTATTCCTCAATTCTAGAGTATTTCAATTTATTAACAGCGATTTCATTTAATATAGATCCCCAGCACCAGGTTATTTCAACAACGATAACATTCTTGATTTTATGGTCCACTGGAGTCTTGGGGAATGGCCACAGTATAGCGAAACTAAGGTAAAAACTTATTTCAAGTATTTAAAAGCACTAAATGTTATTTTCATTTTGGGGTACGAACAATACAATTACCCATAGTCCTTTAGATTATGAAACGGCCTATTTAATGCAACAAATAATCTTATGATGTTATTCAAGGATTTGTATACAAATCCTTGTGTTATTGAATGAATATTATCGATTTATTTTAATAAAATTTGATTCAACTTTAAAATGAATTTTCAAGAAATGTCTGTAATGTGTAATATTAAAGAGAATGTATTCCCAAAACCTAACTTCTATGATATACTCGGTTACAAAATGGAATACATCCACCATTAGGAAATAAATGATTGATTATCTATCAGATATACATATTGAATGGTAAAGATGGTTCAACGTTATGGGCACTAAATGGAAATCAGTTTGTTATGTCGTCAGACCTCAGTATCAGAACTTCAGAACATCACAGAGACTTGTTTCTTTTTAATACACTAGGCAGAGGTAGTCCAATCAAACTGGATCAGCATCAAAATATACAGGGTATTGAAAGGCTTGATAAAGTAAGTTGATTTATACAAAATATACAGGGCAGTGAAAGGCTTGATAAAGTAAGTTGATTATATACAAAATATACAGGACAGTGAAAGGCTTGATAAAGTAAGTTGATTTATACAAAATATACAGGGCAGTGAAAGGCTAGATACAGATAAACTGATTGAAAGATTATGTCTTCATCATATGAAAATCAAGCACAATCTCTCCCGTTACGGGTTTAGTATCATACCATGCATCATAAAATATATGAGAAGAACATAACCCGTATCATGCCAACAACTGGTTTTAGAATAAATGTGTTTATTTCCGATGCAAAGACCCTATGAGTGAATCAATATTAATACCAAAATATGCCATCTTTAATGACCTTGGTTTTTTACAGTTTACAAGTAGATACAGTCTGGGGTTAAAGTTTGTTACACATCAATTTCTTTGTCAAACCTTTATAGAGTTTTATAACACTTTGGCAGATGCTTTTCAATGATTAAGTGATAATGTCTGAGGCAAACCTTTGAAAATATATTTTTTTCATTTTTAGTATTTTTTTGATAAATGGACTTCGTTTTTTACAGTTAACATTTACAGACAGTGTGAGATTCATTTTTTTTTACATGATAAATTTATAATCCTTCATGGATTGTTATGAAACTTGGACAGACGCTAATACTCTCCAAGACCAAGAAATAGCATCTAAAGAAAAACTTTGATTTTTTTTAATTCTGTATTTTACTGATAAATGGACTCACTTTTTAAGTGAACATTACACTTTTACACTTACAGCAGTAATCGCAAGCGAGACACAAAGTTACGCGGAACCCCTTACAATCTTTTTTACATCCTTGGCTTTAAAATGTCTGGTTGGAAGTGTTTCTAATGAAAGTTAATCCAGAAAAGCGCTTCGGATGCCTCACATTTATACAGTGCTATTTTAATGTTGTACGTATAACAAATATATATTTGCTTGTTTATCATTTTAAGTTTAATGTAGATTAATTAAAGCATTCTTCCAGCGCACATTAAAATAATTTTGATTGTTGTCTTATATTTGTGTATGTGTAGTATTGTTTAGGTGAACCATTAGTATAGCTTTTTGTCAAACTGTTTAGAATACAGACACTGTTATTACGCTTTGCTTGTAAGGAAGGCATGGAACAGAATCTGTATTTCAGCCATTTTGCTTTGTTTTGTGGAGAGGGTTTACATAATCTAAGCCTGATGCCTAATTTGATTTAATTAGGACAATTTGAAATATTGTTTAAACTTGCGTATTAATTATTAAAATTTGCATTGCAGAAACCACCATCATATTTTAAAGAAGTAAACAACTTTTTGGAACAATGTGTGGTATGTAAATTTAAGTTCTGTAGCATTTGAACAAATTTGCATCATCATTATTTACCCTTATGTTTTTGGTATAAATAAAAGGAGATATAGGGTATTCGTCAATGAATAAAGACAACAGTAGTTTAGCGATGTTCAAATCTCATTAATCGGTTTTAAAAGACCACCTTTACCATACATACAATGACATATAAAGCAACCAAATGGCAACATACTACAGACTTCAACAAGAAAGAGTTGTCTAGAAAATAGGTCAAGCTCTAAATCGTCCCTAGCCTTTTAAAGTTGTGAATGACCTGAATAGAAGCAATCTTAGATCTATCACCAATTCTCTAATTAATAAAAAAAAACCAGTAAGAATTTAATATTTATTGATATTAGCTTCTTTACTATCGAATTTTTCCACGCACATGTCCATTTTTAATCTTAAAAAAACAAAATTTAAACGCATTTTTTTTTCAGAGTTTTAAATACAAGTATGTCTTTACCATATTTCGAATGAAATATATCTTTTGAAAACACACAAAAACAGCATCAAATTGTGACGATTATTTCAGATTGCAGCGCACAAAGGTCATTTAAGTACCGGGACGTCCCGTCAGACAGATCTTTCAAATGATAATGATAAGAAACTTCCTTATAACTCAAACCAACAAAATCAAAGACAACAGGGAACAAATAAAAGTAATCGAGATTTTCAGGGAATGCATAATTATGGAAATGATACAGAACATTCGGATTTTATGCAACACCACAATAACCCGATAACGAACAAACATCAAAATTTCCTTGGAGACATGAATAGAAGAAGAAAGGTACACATTTTTAGATTGAAGATAATATAAGATATCGGTAGTCCATATGTATTGACATTTTCTATACTTTTATTATATGTTATAGGATTATTTTTAGTGATTTACAAATAATAATAATAATCTAGACGTTTTATATACCAAACATTTATAGATGTCTCAATATATTGGCCCTGATTTATCGACAACTTCAAAAAATGACCTTATATCAATTTTAATTAAGTAAAATGATAATATTGCTTTGATATTTCATTAAATCACCCTCATATTTTAACTATATGCATAACATCTTTTCATTTCAGTTAAGAAAACGCAAAACAAGGCCACTGTCAAAGACGAAAAACATTTCATGTGAATATAACGGTAATTGAATTATAATTTAAGTTACCAACTGCCGCTTTTTCAAATTAACTATTATTGTTTATTATTTTTTGATATAACTATTATCACAAATTACAGTAAAATTCGTGTATATGTAACGATACCACAAGTAAGACTGCAAACTATGGAAAGAACATATACCGCAAGTTATAACCTTTCACGATGTAGAAACATTTCAGAATTTCATTTAAGCTCCAACATGCTCTACCGTTAATACTTTATTAATAATTCCTGTTAATCATTTTGAATATGTTGTTTTATAGATGAAATCATGCAAGCAATGTATGATAATCGACATTTCATGTGTACGGACGAAGCTGAATTGCGAGTGGAGGTGTTTATACTTGATAGAACAACATTTAACAACCCAGTTCGACTTTTAAACCATGGCCTAGAAGCCTTCATGTATAGTAAGTTAGATATTGTTATGAGCTTTTAACTTTTAATATTAATTTATTTAAATCAGTTGTTCATATTCAGTACTTAGGGAAATAGTTGTTTCAAACTACCCGAAGATAGTTGAAAAGTGCCAAGTACCAAAATGTTTCAATTGGAAGAAAACTACCAGGGTTAGGAAAGTGTTAATAACAGAGATAGTCTAAGATACCAAGAGGCATTCGAAAGCCATGAATCCAATAAAAAAAAGTCAAAACCATGGCGAAAAATAAAAACGGCGAAAGGACAAATAACAATAACAAACCATTACATAGAAAACTTAAAACTAAGCTACACGAACCCTACCTAAAACTGGGAGTGATCTAAGGTGTCCATGAAGGGTAAGTAGTTCTTGCTACACATTTGGCACCCGTCGTGTTGCTCAAGCAAATAAAAAATCCGGTTAGAATAAAATTGAAAATGGAAATGGGTCGCTTTCGGAAATGTCACAATCTAGAACAAGATGATGGGATTGTGGTTACTACAAATGAAACATATCCGTAGACATATGTGACATAGATATCTCATAACGGTCAACTAAACCATGATGGGATCCGTTAAACTTTTGGAGGGATGACTTCAACTTTACCACTTGGAAACCTTGATACAATAACTTCTTTGTAAGCTGTAATCTTCTATCAAGGAAATCATGTTGGGAAATGCAAGCCATCGAATATCGAATCAACTGAGAGCAATATATTCTGTATGCAGGCACTGCTGGAATGATTTATGTACCCCATGAATTAACATAATACGAGTATATTTGTTTTACGATCACTGCTAAAAAGTAGTATATAATGTCCATGTAAGTGTTTCGGATGGTGCTTTACTTTTATGTTTAAAATATTTACTTAAACTGTAATGTTTAAGGTGTGCCAAATGAAGTTGACACGTCATTGCCGTCCAAAGACATATGTACTATGTTAGTGTCTACAGTCCTTGCTACAGGTAAGCTTTCAATGAAAAATATCTTTTGTGGAGAATCAGCTAATTTTACTTACCAATAAATGATATACTAGTAATAATGAAAGTTGTATGTTACTCATAAAGATTAAATCGAAAATTGTGGATGGCGTGAACTTTGCGGCAAAATGGAACAAAGGTCGTTGGGTCAAAACGTATAATACCGAATTCAGTGCGCGTGACACGTGTTTCTGGAATAACTTTAATCTGGTACTATTCAGACAAATAATTTAGACAGTCAAATACATGAAATATTTACATCAAATCAAAAGGATCTAAACGAACAGCATCAGCCATCTTAGGCCAACTTTACCTGAGTTAGTTAAACTACTATGATACATATTAGGCACAAAACTTCAATACATTTCAATACTGTAGCACTGACAAGCTGTACGCCTCAGTAAACCGCTAGTCGATTTAAAAGCAGTTTGAAAAAGTAACCGGGAATTGTAAAAGTTTTGTTTTCACTTTATACATGACAAGTTTTATTTTTCCAAAGTTTCTCGTCTGTCCTCAGCATCGATCCTTAGCGTGTTAGAAATATTTGAAATCAACAAATCCAACTTATTGTCCGCGATTATGTGAAAATGGAAATCACAAAATTAAGTTGTGAGGCGATGTAGCTATCGTAGATCAACGAAATATAACGAATGAATTTTTCTGGTTAAATTATTGTTTGCCTGGTATCTACCGGTATATTATACATAAGTTATTAGAGAGTTTATTATCTTTCGTGAACTGATTTTTATTATTCGTCTTTATGTATTGTTTCTATAATTGAGATGCAGAGGGGATGACATCTTAAAATATTCAAATTCAAATTCTTTATTAATTTTTAAACTTGCGGCTCATCAGTGTATTCAAATACAGTATATAAAGATAAAGCATTAACAATATGTATAGATAACAATAGGTGACGTCAGAAGTTTCATGTTTAACAAAATATAACATTACAATAAACAAGTAAATAAAATAAGACTTATTATTATCATGAAACTAAAATCTGGCGATATTCGTTAAGTAAGAGTCTGGCATACCTGTATTCGTATCGAAAAATGGATGTTTACTGGATAAATTTAGACAAATATACTTTACCTTATGTTACATCCTGCGGAATTCAAAATTTATTTCGAAAAATATACATTGAGTCGACAAGGAACATATAATAGCATTTGCCACCAAAAAAGCACGATTTCCATTTATTTGTTCCATTTTAATTGATGTTTTTGCATATTTTAGCGTCCATAGGGGATGTTGATGGAGATGGCATATTAGATGTGATCGCCAGGATCGATAAGGCTGGAGACAAATTTAATCGAAAAAAACGCATGTTTTCCACAATTAGTTCTAGCACTGTAGTAAAAATTAGTTTGTATGATTATTTAAGGAAAAGCAAAGCAAGAGTTAATGTTGATGCTGCACATACATTTAAGGAACAGCATTTGGAGAAGAACTTGGTAGACGTAGAGTTATTGCCATCTGATCGGCAGATATGGACAAGCTATATGGGGAAAATGGGAAATGGATATTATGACATGACGTAACCATGTAGATAAGGGGGGGGGGGGGGGGGGGGGGGGGGGTTAACACTACACTTGTTTGGTGTCTGTGTTGTTTTAAATATATATAAGCGGAAATCGAGTTAGCACTTTTATTATGTATTTAAAAAAAAGGTATACATAAGACATGAAACATGCTTCATAAACTTATAAGTTAGAAATGCAGTTTTGGTTGACGAATGAGACATTTTTTACTAATGTATTTAGTTGTCCCTCGTGATTGGGTATGTGTCGAGTACTCAGTCAAATTATATACTTTGACTACAAGTTGACACGATGGGTGTTTAATGCAGAGCAGAATATTTTTATATTCTATAGAACCTGATATTCATCTCAGTTTATTTGTAGTTTTTTAAAGGGGTTCCTTGGTTGTGGATTTACTTATAAACATGTCGAAATTTACGTATTTGACCTAAAAATTCAAGAATAGTTTTTGGTCGAAATATATATGAGCAACAGCTTAACCGGGCCCAAAAAGACATTTAACACACATTAGCATCTTTGTAAAATAAGTTTTTGTAGCAAAAAATGTTATCGGGTAAAACTGTTGCTCATATTTAAAAATTAATGACAAGATCTTAAAATGAGGCTATTTTGGCTTTTCTTTTTGGTTTGCTGTATTGCACAAACAGAAAGAAAATTACCATTTTCTGCATAAGGAAATGCCTTAAACAAGTCAGGAATATGACTATTGTTTTCAATTCGTTTGATGTGTATGAGCTTTTGATTTTGCCATTTGCTGAAGGACTTTCCGTTTTGAATTTCCCATGGAGTTCGGTATTTTTGTTATATTACTTTTTAAAGCTCTAATGCCAATATGTAAGACAAAATTCAAAAATATAAATATTCAGGTTCAACAGACTATAATGTCTTATGAAAATCTGAAAGTTGTTATTTTTTATATTGATATTACTTTTTGATTATCGAATTGAAGGGACCAAAAAAGTGGCCTTATCAGACCCTCTTTGAAAATAATCACTACAAAGTATCATTGCTATTCATTGTTGTGATACTTTTATAGCTACCGTCCGTCTCTATAAAATAAATTTCTTCGTTTACCCATGTCTGTAATAAGCTAAAGAAGCAACATACACACTGATTATTGATGAAAAAAAGAGAAAACTTCAGATATAAAAATGACGAGATGCGGCATTATTACCAAGTATGATCCGTTTGAAAACTATTAAGATGCGTCTTTTAACAATGAGGGAAAAAAGTATATAGTACAGTTAGCTATAAAAGGTCCCGGAATTACATAAGACCCAATTCAAAACAGAAAACGGCCCGATTTAAACTATAGTATAACATTAAGCAAAAAAAAAAATTTGATAGACAAAAACCAATGACATCTATTGGACTACACACTCCTGACTTGGGACAGTCAAATTAAAAACATGACAGAGTTAACATGTTCAACAAAGTTCAGCTGTTGAATTAATGCATCACATCACTGACGTTAACGCCATACTCCCATTCATTCATAAACAATATAATTATTAAGTATTTTGTTTCTACAAAAATATTTAAAAACAAGTTGTTACAGATTTATAATGTATCTCCAGCTCTTTGATTATCTTAAGCAGGGACTCATATTGGAACATTTCGTAAATGAAAATATACGTATGACTTTTATTTGCAGAATGGTTTTGCACAGTTATATAAATAATATCAAAATTGACAGAATCACTGTAGCGTATTTGTTTTGCCACACGGAACTTGCCGTGGAACCTGCAATGAGATAATAAATGTATCAAAATTAAGAATGAAAAAACCCTGTAATCTTGTTATGCGCAATGGAAACGTTAGTCTTTACATTAAATAATTGACCAAGGATTTATCCAGTATGAAACTGATTTTTAGCTTGTAATAATGAGTTACAGGTTATGCTTGAGTGTGACTTACTTTTGGCGGCATGATGGCCCTTTGAGTAAGAAATTTGTGTAAAACAATATGAAAAATACTTTAACCTATAATGAAAAGAACGATGGGTGGATGCCAATAGTAGAGTTTTGGTAATTTTGTTTTTGGTCATGGCTTAGTCCCACGCTTTTGTTAAATCATTATCTGTCCTTCCTTTCTTCAGATACACACAAATAATATAAAATATTTCCCTGTTTTCATTTTTGAGCAATATTTCAAACAAAAGAAAAAGTACATTTTTTATGTAACTAATTTTGAGGCAACAGTAGTCTACCGATGTTCAAATGTCATAAATCCATTAAAAAGATACAAATCAAAGTAAAAACAAAAAACGAATGCGTTACTGGAGAGTCTTGTAGACGAAACGCGCATCTGGCGTACATAATTTTAAGCCTGGTATATATGATGAGTTTATTTTCTACTGGCCTTTCAATCATAAAACTTTATATAGTACTTGGAGTACAAAATTGGGTAACTTCTGAGACTTAGAACGATAATCGTACTCGAAAGTTTAATGACTTTAAGCCTGTATTTTCTCCTTACTGTCCCAAAGGTATAATACGTGTGTTTAAAATCATACGGATTGCAGTTACCTTCACACTAGTTTTAACTTATAATATAGATTTGGTTATTGATGCCTAGCTGCCAAAATGCCTTTGTAAGAATTTAACGCATGTTCATCCTTAGTGGAAATGATTGTCAAAAGAGTTCGATTCAACATGTTACATTAAAATCAATTAATTCTAAAATAACAATATAATAGATGAAAATAAAAAAATAGATTGAATAGAATATACCATAATAAAGAATGGTCTCAATTGTTGAAGGCAAACTCGATGCACTTGACCTGCTAATATGAAACCATGCAATAATTTGGTAGCTTGATTTACCTTATTTTTTTTGTCGTTACCTTAAGTCTGAATTTTATGTCATGTATTATAGACTAGACAAATACAATCTTACCAAGGTTATCTTCTAGTTCTTTTGTTGTTGTTGTCATCATTGTAGTAGTAGTTGAAGTGCGTGCTGTAGTAGATGAAAACGTGGTCTCCGATGTTGATTTCAAAGGTGTAGTGGTAGGCGAAAACGTGGTCTCTGGTGTTGATTTCAAAGTTGTAGTGGTAGGTGAAAGCGTCGTCAGAACTGTGGTTGACGATTCTGGAGTTGATGTGGCTGTATTCATTATACGTTCACACATTTTACAGCATGAATTTTGTACCCAGGAATGATTCAAACAGCGGTAAGGGTACCGTTCTACGACTTCAGAGCAGTTCCATGTCGCGTCATAATATACAGGAACCGGCAAGTCGGCAAATAAACAAGTGTCTGAAAAATGAAATATATAGAAAGGATTTCCTTATATAACCTATCGCCAATACTGTATCAACGTGTGTTCTGTTTGGGGTGTTTTTCTGAGTACAAGATTCGATTGCAAATTTTGATGGAGCTACTTACACTACAGCACAAGAGAACGGCGAAAAGAACAATATTCTTTTGAATCTCTTATTTCCATTGGTGCCTTTTGGGTTTTTCATTCAAACTTAAAATCTTTTGATTTTTTTAATCAATAGACGGAATTTTAGTCGTGTGTATTTTGGCTTGATTGTTTTGATATTCTTATCTATTTTATTATTTATTCTCTATATAAAGATTAGATGATGTGCTATATGATTGCCAAAGAGACAACTTTCCACTAGAGACCAAATGATGTAGAAGTTAACAACTATATGTCACCGTAAGACTTCAAAACCATTAAACGAGAAAACTTATGGCTTAAGTTATGTACAAAACAATAAATGAAAAACAAATATAATATATAGCAACAGGCCCCTGACTTGGGACAGACATATACAGAATGTGGTGTGGCTATACAAGTTTGCGGGCATCTAACCTATGTTTTATTTCAGTAATCAATGTCATAAGTAAAAGTTATCACAAATATATTGATATTTACCGTTATCAACTTTCGGTGCCTGTTCATTTGTAGTACATATTCCTCTGATACACCACTAGAAAATGAAAAATAAACTTAGTTCGTTCTTGCGATTCTTATTCAAACATTAGTCGAAAGCTCAAACAAGCTCGGTGCTAAGCATATAAGTATGCCCAATTTTTCATGTATTTGTTTTCAGAATTTGAATATACCTCACAGATTTTTTAGATTTCTCACAGAAATTTACTTGGAAATCCATTCTCACTCAAGTTTTTAATAATAATATACATCTGTAGTTTGGGGCCATCTGTGAAAGAATATACTTTGTTTATATGACCAAAAAAAGGAAATTTTGTATAAACAAGAACTGTCAAAAGATAAAAAAAAATATGTGTAAAATGTCGAAAAATTAAATCAATTGGTAAATACGGATTTTTGTTTCGACACATAGCGTCCAGTTGCGGAATCTTTATCGTCTTCCGTAGTCGTCTTGAAAGTATTCCACCAAACCTGTACAGATTCTTCTACAGGTAGCACGGTAGTATTTGCATTCCGGAATTTAGGTTGCTCTTTTGTGTACCCTACCTAAGTCAATGTATTTGAACAGTGTGGTTGGACAAAAAATACAGTATCAACTGAACATATTTTCCCAAACTGAGGGATGAATCAGGTGTAGAAAAATATGAAATAATTTTACATACAGGTGAAAATGAATTTTTGAGAATTTTTTTAAATTTTGTATTCACTGCATGATAAAAGACCTAAAAGCACTAGTGGCCTTAGGTTTTTAAAGATAGCAAAAAAAGTAAACGGTCATGATACATATTTAAATTCATTTCTGAAAATTATAATGAAAGTACTTCAGTAAACTGTGTACATAGAATTTTGGGCAGTGCTAGAAAGTGGTGAAAAGTTTAAAAAGGCTATCATTATCCCTTATGGGCCAGGAAATACTACCGTGCCACCTACAAGGCATACAGTTGTTCGGCGTTTATTTTAATTTTTGACGGTACTGAATTTGGACTTTCCAGTACCAAAACAAGGACTTCCCCATTCTTACATAATATTGTTTATCTGAGCGAAACATTTCATGCATAAATAAAGGCAACAGTAGTATACCGGTGTTCAAAAGTCGAAAATCGATTTAGGGAAAACAAATCCGGGTTACAAACTAAATCCGAGGGAAACACATCAACTATAAGAGAAAAACAACAGGAACAACAGGAACACTGAAGTGCAACAAAAACAAACGCCACATACATAGAAACGAACTATTTGATAACAACTGCAATATTCCTGACTTGGTACAGGACATTTTAAGAAAAAAAACCGAGTTAACACTATTGAGCTTTCGTTCGTCCACCATTTAGACCACAATTGATTTTGATAATATTTTTTTTTAATTTGCATATCAATATTGAGCATAATATTTTTCCTAATCTACTTTTCATTGTGTATGCCGTAAGAAAACACATAAAAAACTTACCTTTCCATCACCACAAGGTGTTCCATCCCCAGGAATAAATCGATTGCAATACCTTGGATCATTTGGATTCAAACAAGACATAACATTACATATCTGACTGAAATTTCCTGCATAAAGACCCTGTAATATCAATTATATATTAACTATTTAATCTTTTCCCGTGGTTATACAGATAAATCAACCAGAAGTCTAACTATATTTTTTTTCAGTTTCAAATTTTGGAAGTGTTAGTTTACTAGCGAAAACTGTTTGAAACATTACCAGGTGGGAAAATGGACGATACCTTTATCATCTGATTGTCCGAACACTTGATAATCTCTTTATTGAAAGTCACACTTTCAACTTAAAATCCAAACATAGACTACAAGTGTAGACAAAACAGTCTAAGGTCAACTTTGCTTAGATTAGTACGGATAATAAGCAGATTGAAAAGTTATTTTGTAAAAAAATCAAAATCGAATAAAAGCAAACGATTTTTACTTATTTTGGGTAAATGAATACTCCCATATGTACGAATATTTAGCTCCTCCGTAATTTTCGACTTTGAGCATCCAAAACGATAACATGCAGGGCAATATAAGTAGAGGAAAAACAGACAATACCCTTACCAAAGGAAATTAGACGAAAAAAACAAAATAACAGTCCACAAAACACTACACACAAATCTTTATTCTAAATTAAAATATGCAATGAGGGTTAAAATAGCCATCGGTCAATGTTAAAGGTTGAACAACACGAACCCCATCAATAAGCCTAAACTTACCTCCTATACACTTCTCGAAATATCATTGGTTTAAAGCGAACACGTCGGAACCGTGTTTATTTAATATTTGGTCAGTGGTCGTGCTTTATTTTAAAAACACGATCAATGAGCGTGGTTTATTTCAAATACACGATTTGTCGTAGAGTTATGTTCCTTTTAAAAAACAAAACGGTGTTGCTCTCAAATTAACATACATGATTATAATTTTTCATGCTTTTAGACAAATCATATCTTAAAGACGCTGACTTTCTCACTGTAATCAATTGAAAGTTCTATTGTTGAGTTAACATTGTGATATCAAGGTTTACATCTACGTCTTTATTCCCCATATTAAGATAGTAAAGGTAATCGGTAAGATAAAGTCGTTGCACAGTATGCTAGTGACCTGATAGGATAAATACGAAGTCAGTTAATTCCATAAAGAGCTCGATCTTTGCTCGCTCTCGCCCCTTATGTAGTTTACTGACTGACCCTGTATATATCGTATTCTGAAAATAAGAAGATGTGGTATGATTGCCAACGAGACAACTCTCCACAAGAGACCAAATGACAAAAATTAACAAATATAGGTCATCGTACGGTCTTCAACAATAAGCAAAACCCATACTGCATAGTCATCTATAAAAGGCCCCGAAATGACAAAAGTAAAACAATTCAAACGAGAAAAATAACGGCCTGATTTATGTACAAAATAATGAACGAAAAACAAATATGATATAAAGCAACAAACGACAACAAGCACACTGTGTAACTAATAATGTACTCCGGATATTCAGAATTTACGATAAACTAGTGACACTTCAATTGTAATCTCTGTTAAACTGCGTTGAAGAGTAAACTATGTAACCCATAAACTTGACCGAATGTGAAAGCTTGAAAAAAAAATACTAAATCGACAAGCACTCTTAAGTACATGTCAAGATAACGTTATACCCTGCATAAAGCTGATCCACTACCCATAATATTGATGCACTGTTCATCAACATCATAGAACTGTCCCGGAAGTATATTGTTGTACTGGTTTAATGCGGTTTCGTTGTAATAAGGACCAAATGTCTTTAAGCAGTTGTCTCCGTCGCTGTGAACAAAAAGGTGAAACTGTTACTAGTATTTAAACTAAAACATACATATTCTCTTTTAGAATTCAGGGATGACAAAAAGTATTGTAATATCACAGCATTTGAAATACTTAATCTACATTGCTCCACTATGTATTTTTACTGAGAGACATGTGATGAAAATGATATCATAACCCTTTTTCTTAGCCATGGTATACAATTATTTTGAAGTTAAATATTATGTTAAAAGTCTTTGAGTTAAAGGCCTAACTACAGAAACACATAAACCTAGCATGATTGTTCAATGAAAATGAGAGATTAAGATCAGATAAATCGTGTCAAAAGTATATGTACACCTTACAATTATTTCATTGGTCAACGTATTCGGGATAAGCTCTGTTTGTAAATGACCATCTTTATCAACACTTCAAATAAAGTTGGTGTTGTCTTTATTTACCTTTATATATGATCACTTACAAACAGAGCTTATCACGAATACGTTGACCAATGAAATATGAAAATGAAGTCAAAGTCAGATGAATACTACTTGACGTGCAAACCTTCCAATCATTTAATACGCTATGTTTAGTCGACCTATTACTTATTTTATCTGAGCAAATGACCTTATCATGAAGATTTATCATTAATCAATGAACCATGAAAATGAAGTAAAGGTCATAAGAACTATATATTACAGGCACATCCCTTCGTAGCTGTTTAGTATACCAAATAAACTCAGGAAGGGTAAGCAGTTCCTGCTCCATATGTGGCACCCGTCGTGTTGCTCATGTAAGTACAAACCATGTGATTAGTCTAATTCGGTTGGTCAGATTCGAGAAAAAGACGACGGGATTGTGGTGACGACAATTGGAATTATAGCTCTTCAACTGTTTCGGTACTTATACATCCCTCGGATTTCAAATGTTTGGCTTTGAGCGTTCCTGATGAAGGTTAATCCAGAAAAGCGCTTCGGACGCATGAAATTATTAAACGTGTTGTTTTCAATTTTTTGGAACATATACGTCGTCATCTGTAAAACAGATATATCATAACGGTAAACCAACTCGTGATGGCGACCGTAAAATTTTCCAAGGGATGATTTCAACTTCACCACTTGGAACTCTTGGTTCAATAGCTTCATTGTAAGCAACAATCCTGTATCAAAGAAATCATGATAGGAAATGCAAGTTCTGGAATATTGTATCATCTGGGAGATATATACTCCATATGCAGGCGCTGTTGGAATGTTGCTACATAGAAATGGAAAGTTCACAATTGGGAAACTGAGATCATCTCTTTTGTCGTAAAGTTTCGTTATCAACCAACCATCATTGTCAGTTTCAAGATGTAAGTTAAGATATGAGGCAGACTTAATCTGTATGTATCCGTTGTATCCTTTATTTCAAGTTCGATGGGAAAGATGCGTTCGACATAGTCACCAAACTTTGAATTATTTAGTGAAAGGACATCATCTTTATAGCGGAACGTGAAGTTAAAGGATAATGCTAGTTTATTTTCATTCTTCTTAAAAAGCTTCTTTATATGAATTAAAGAACAAGTCGGCAAGAAGAGAAGCACATGTGGTTCCCATGGGAATTCCGATTGTTATATAAAAAACACATCCTCCATACGCAACAAATAAGCTGTCAATCAAGAAATCAAGCATTTCCAAGATTTTTTTGTTCGAATCAGAGTGATTTTTTACAAAGTACGACTTATCACTCCCTAAGACAAGATACTAGTATCTATATTTGCCTTTTTTGTGAAACAAAGCAGGACCAATTATTCCAATATGCCTTCTATAAAAATAAGAAGATTTGGTTTAATCGCCAATGAGACAACTCTCCACCAGAGACCAAATGACATAAAAAGTGACAACTATAGGTCACCGTACGGCCTTCAACAATGAGCAAACCCATACCGCATTAAGTCAGCTATAAAAGGTCCCGAAATGACAAATGTAAAACAATTAGAACGAAATACAAATATGATATACAGCAACACACGACAACTACCGAATTACAGGCTCCTGACTTGGGTTTCAGAATAGAATTGGAAATACTTGTGTAAAGGGTAGAAAAGTCAAATGTTTTAATACTATTGCAAGAGGAAGTAGTGAGCTAACACTATATATATATTACCTGTCAAGGGAGTCTATATATTCAGTAAAGTACTTAGTTGAACACGAAGAAAACTTCCAAGAATTTGTTGATAGGGTTATATTTGTTTTTGGGCTCCTTCCAACTCCCATTACATTATGGGTTTCGCTTAAACAGTCGTTTTCGGTTCCATCATGTTCCGATCCAAGGCTATATAAAAAATTCATAAAAATTTTGTGTGATAATACGTCACTGGAAGTCCATTGCTTTATTTTAAAATCTTTATTCAAATTGCAAGCAGTACACATTTTATTATAAGAAAAGCGTAAAAATAATTGTTGGTTTTTTTATGTTGTAAATGTTTATATTGTTTTATCAATTACTAATTCAAAGGATATTTATTATGAAGCCTAAACAAAAACGACAAGTAAGATATACTTTTAAAAGAAAATGTTATGAATTTAGAATGTTGAAGACAATGTTCAGCTCTTACTTTAAAATACTTGAATAAGAAACAAATGTTCCTGAAAAATAATTGAAATATATTCTTCATATTTTATAAAATCAAGATCGTCTTTCTTAACCAAACAGTTGTGAACAGGGATGGACAACAAAAAAGTCATTGATATGCAAGTTATTTAGTTAATCGGAAGTGCAATCGGAAACAAGGAAATCGATAGTTTCCGATCGGCTATCATGATTTTAATATGAACATCGATGGTTTAGTAGTGTATCTTTTTCCTCATATTTCCGTCGATTTACTTTTTATAAAATAGTGTTAATCTAAAATAAAGTGTTGTTGAATATGGAAAAGAAACATTGACATAATATTTTTTCCGACAAGCCTTGTACTTTTTGAAGGCAAAAATGGTCTTCGAGGTTGAAAATATTCTTGCAGGATTTAAGAATTTAGACGATATGATTGCGAGTAGGGTGACCGCTTTGATTAAACTTTTTATGATTGAGCTCAAAAGATCTAATACCTGTGTGCTACTTCGTGTGCTGCTGTACCTATTCTGTCAAAGGCAAATATGTCTCGAACAACTGATTGGCTTTTTGTCTTACACATAGTTGACTTATATGCAATCCCTGTAATACAATTATAATTTGATAAATAGCTTACGTAACTGTAAAGGATCCCGACTTTCTCTGATTATATACGGTTGTGGAGGATTGAAGGTTTTATCATTGGTTAAAACTAAATGCAATGTAAGATTCTTTAAAGTTTCTCATTTGAATAAACAATATTTTGTTTTGAAAAATTGGTACTGCATGAACAAAATAAAACATTACAGAAATGGTACAAATTTGACAACAATAAAAGTCAAACTTAAATACTTAACATTTCCTGTTAATCATACTCACTAATAAATCATAAGACAGTAACTTACCCCATGCGCTATAAATGCCATATACCAGAGTATACCTAAAAACGTAAGTGACACCAGATTAAAACATCAAAGCGGAGCTATCTGGATCGATATAAGACATAGTTTATCGGAAATTGTCACCATTACAACATTGACCCGTGTATTACACAAAATAGTATTACACACTGAGCTACCACTTCTAACGTATTCCCTTTATCTTTAAACTTCCTAAAAAGACTTCGGCTCTGTCGTTGATATGATCGTTAGCAACTGACACTAGATAATTTTTTTTATATCTAGCAGCCCGTAATGTTACACGGTCATCAAAACATACGAATCCTAGTTCAAAAGAAACATTTCAATCTTGTGAATGACAATTATTCTTTTTCAAGATGATTCACTTTCCAGATTTTTGTAGAAATAAAGATAATTATAATTTTCTTATGTACAAGCTTCTTTTTTACGTACAATGTAAAGTCTTGTGGCTTGTTATGTGCTTTTATGCCCAACCTACATAATGAAGGACACTATGAATTCGTAGTCACATCAACTTGAAAGTTATTCTCCAATCGCATTATTGTATGTTCTTTCTAAAAATACATGCCATTTAGGATTTGGCGGTTTCTGACAAGTTACTCTAACATATATCTTGATGTACCATGTGGTTGTTTAGATCTGTGAATTGTTACTGTTTTTCACATTAAGATTGTTGGGCAATTTATGACAGTATTTGCTATATTTCTTTGCCAGATTTAACTTATAATTTGTTGGTATTACCTTACACCTGTCTATAAGTAAATAGATGTAGCCCAAGTGACCTCTAGCAAAAATTTCGGTCAACGGCATTTAGGGACAATATTGCTCCATATTGAAGGCCTTACTGTTACTGTGAAACGTGGACAAAAATAAAAGCATTGTTCCTCCAGGTGCGGGATTTTCTCGCTGTGTTGAAGACCCATTGGTGGCCTTGGGCTGTTTTTACCTCGACATGAGGTGATGGTGCTTTGCGTGCAGATGCATTTCCCTTTGTTTTTTTCATTACTGTAACAAAGATTCGCATTCACCTATTAGTTATTTCAACAATTGTTCACGGTTAGAAATCGGACATCATAAAAAATAAAAAGAATTTTCGGAAAAAGGTCGTTTTTCAAATTTATAGAAGAAATGCTTACTAGTAATTTTAATATCGATATCATGGGTTTTCAAAAGAATATGGTTAGTTTGGGTTCCAATTCAATTTCAAATATGTGAAGGAAAATTAAACATACTTAGTCATAAGCATAGCATGGTCATAGCTTGGTAGTCCTGGTGATGTGTTTATCCAAGTAGAGAAGTTACTTAGTGCTGTTTGAGAGTTTACTTGGCCATAGGAGTCGACAATTGATTCTGTCCAGGGTGAGTCGCCAATAGTCTGAAAAGAAGAGGTAAAAACAAATTATTCTGCTAAACAGGAAGGAAATAAAAAATAAAACCATCATGTTCATCAAAATAATCTTGAGTCACAATGTTTTGTTTTATTTTCATTTATTACAAATAGGTATATTTAGTGAATTGGTTTACTGGTTTACTCATGAAACGAAAACAAGTATTATGAATGCGTTTGAGTACCATCACTTTATATTTTATGTTTACTCCTTTTCTTAATCGATTTCACTGGTGATGGTTTGCAGGTCACTTGGAGTATTACCAACCGAATACTAGTCGTTAGTACTTCAGCCCTAACATATGCTTTCAAGTTTGATTATTTTAGTTATTCTTCCAATCTTTGTGATAGTAGTGGCAGTCTTAAGTATATGTACTCACAAAACTAATTTATCTTAGAAGCGTCGTTATGCTTTCATTTAATGAACCTGTATAAGTTGCTGTCCATTTAACCTCTAAAGTACACGGTTGGTTCATATTCTTCGTGCTCGATTATTATTTTTTAAACCTTCATATTTGACTCTATAAGTTTTCTACTTTTTATACGCATTCTAATTATAAATGCATGTATCAGAGCTATAAAATTGTCGATTTTAGTTATATTCACTAGTATGAGTTCTATTGTTCCTTACCTGTGTAATAATAATTGCCGAAAACTTTATGTTTATGGTATAGTCCGTTGTCTGAATATTCTTGTAAATTGCATCCATCTGTAAAGGTATTAAATATTGTTTTGATAACCGTGTAACATTACCGGTTGCTAGATACAAAAAAAATATAAGTTATAGTTCCGGGATCCCGAAATCATCCCCAGTTTTTGGTGGCGCTCGTGTTGCTCAGTCTTCAGTTTTCTATGCAGTGTTTTGTGAATTTGTTTGTATTTTCGTCGTCTTTCGTTTTTTTGCGATTGTGTTGTCAGTTTATCTCGACATATGAGTTTTAAATGTTCACTTGGTATCTTTCGCCACAAAGGTGATATTGCTGCTTTTTGTTTACTCTCAAATTGTTATGCTGTAATGAATGGTTATTCAAAGTAGAAGGACCAACGCTTAAATTTTGCACTTAAAATTGGATTTTGTAATAACCTTTCTAGAAACCAATATTCCCGATCTTAAATATTTAATTTGAGATAAACTAGATATGTTTTCCTTCTACTGTTTGTTATAGACAATCTTGACATCTTTAAATGTTTTTTTAACCAGTTTTTTTGCAATCTATTGTGTCTAAATGCATTTAATGACTTTTTCCCCTCTGAATACCATTAGCCACACCCTTCGACCAACATTTATTTGCTATAAAAAAAAAGATGTAAATGGGTGAGATAAACATAATACCAAATAAATTGCGTGCATGTTACCAATGTCGTTTTCAAAATTTATCAAAATATTAGTAAAATGTTATTTTCATCATGGTAGGGCACGATTGTGAAGTCATTATGACATTATTACTGTTGAAATGCGTCAGAACGTGTTGATTTTGTATTTGTCAGAAGTTCTTAAATAAGCAAAACATCAAATGTTTAATAACTGTTATTACTAAATCTAAATTTCATGGAATTTCAGGGCGAATATAGACCATTTGTGAACTTATTCCTTTGACACAACATCTTACCCCATTTAGAAGAAAAGAATAATACTGTGTTACTGCTTCAATTGCGTCTTCTTCTTTTTCATCATCTGTTGTCTTCGTACTTTTTAATTTCCAGCTAAGTACACAAAAATATATTCTATAGAAACAAACCGAGTAATGATCACTTTTAGATTTAGGGTTGCCATTGTTTAAGAATTATATTAGAAGGCTGCATACGGACGTTCGTTCACCTAATTCTTTTATAGTCTTGTGTTTGAACTTCGTCTTGTTAAAACATTTAGTCGTAAATTTTACAAGTATCGATTATCATACTATACCAATATTTCGAATAAGCAAACAGAGAGAGCATTTTTTCGAGGAGGTATAACCGTGAACATTTGTGTTTATAAGACCATGTGAACACATTTTCGAGTCCATTTTTCATGTTCAAGTTATGTCATTGATATTCCAGAGCATATAGCATAATGTCTTGGTGCCTGATATTTTTTGCAATCTATTGATATGAATAAAAATATTTGGGGTATACGTCAATGAGACAACATTTTAACGACGCAAATAAGCAAAAAATATCCAAAGCATTTTTTTTACGTTTTAATCAAAGAAAATGAAAACAAAATGAAATAGTCACAAAATTTCGTTCTCAAATGTAAAAAAAAAATGGAAATATTGCATTAACAAATGTCATTACCAATGAATTGGCAAAATTAGATGAATTTCAGCTTGAACAGTATTATATAAACATTAACAGTGCCAACGTTTTGTCTGCACCAGATGAGCATTTCGACAATAAGTATACATGACCAATGAACAGTATCATACGTACACATGAACAGTGCTATAAGTGTCCATAACTATTTATAGATATAAGTTTATAATTTGTTTTAATTATGTTTCTACAAAACACTAGTCATAAATCAATAAGCTAAAATCAGTTTAACAAACACTATCGATATCAAGCAAAGAATCCTCAAACCGGCACTATGGGTACTAAGGGCCTCTTGAACTAACAGTGAGATATGAGTTTTTGTACCGTGTTAAAGACCTCGTTGTGACTTTAAGATAAGAAATAGTAAGAAAATCATTGTTCTTTTGCTTTGGGTTTTGCAAAATATTTGTTAGGCTAATGTGTAATGAATTAATGTACCACATCCCTTTTTCATTACCGATAGCTAAACAAATAATTTAATAATAAAATACCAATATAGTAGTATACATATGTTGCAAACATTTTTTTTTGGCTCATTTAAACAAAACGGCTCGCATCAGAAACTTGTAAGGAAAATATGATTGTGTTTATAACATACCTTCTAAACTTAACATTATGAATATTTATTTCTAAAATTATAACTTAGATCAATACTCCCTGTTTGTCCGTAGGTAATTCCAGTAAGTTCCATCTCATATTTAATGATTAAGTATATTGTATCGTGGGTTGTTCTATATAAATAAAGTTGGGTCTCTTTATAACAAATAAAAATCAAAGCGAGAAAAAAAAAATGATATTCATACATATATAAGCCAACTTACTAGTTAAATATACTGTAATCTGTGACAAATAGTAATTCAACATTGTGTTCATCCGTTGCCCTTTTTCTCCTCTTTGTGGACTTTTTATTCAAAAATGTTTGACTCTGATCTAAAATTATGATTCAATGTTAAACTTTCAAATTGAAATATTTAGAACTAGAAGTATTTGTAACAACCTCTCCAGTGTTTCTGCTACCTAATATCTACAGCGAGATTAGTTTCACTTCATTGTAGAAATCAGTACAAAAAACTTTCCTAAGAAAGACTACAAGTAGATGTTCTTTAAAGCATACCAAATATTCCCATTTGTATGGCATATTAGAATACAAACAATACATTATTGCAATTCGGCTATTTGAATATTTGACTTCTTCTTTAACATCCAATTTGAATGATTGATACAGATATTCAGAATTATAAAGTTTCAAGAAAAGAGCCTGGAAGGAGAAAAATGAAATGATTTTCTACATGTGCATAACATTCTGTATCTTTATATGAAAATAGAATTCTAAATTAATTTGATGATGGGAATTAAAAGATAAGGTATCTTTTAAGTAATATAAATTATTATTATGATTGATAAATATTGTATTATATTTCTAAAGGGGAAAGTGCCTGATATTCATATGATGAAGACATAATCTTTCAATCAGTTTAATTGAGATCTGGAGCTGGCATGTCAGTAACTGCTAGTAGTCTGTTGTTATATATGTATTATTGTCATTTTGTTTATTTTCTTTTGTTTCCTATTCTGACATCGGACTCAGACTTCTCTTAAACTGAGTTTTACTGTGCGTACTGTTGTACGTTTGTTTTTTCTACATTGGCTAGAGGTATAGGGGGAGGGTTGAGATCTCAAAAAACATGTTTAACCCCGCCGCATTTTTGCGCCTGTCCCAAGTCAGGAGCCTCTGGCCTTTGTTAGTCTTGTATCTTTTTTAATTTTAGTTTCTTGTGTATAATTTGTTTAGAGTTTAGTATGACGTCCATTATCACTGAACTAGTATACATATTTGTTTAGGGGCCAGCTGAAGGACGCCTCCGGGTGCTAGAGTTTCTCGCTGCATTGAAGACCCATTGGTGGCCTTCGGCTGTTGTCTGCTCTATGGTCGGGTTGTTGTCTCTTTGACACATTCCCCATTTCCATTCTCAATTTTATTAATCAAGAACAAGAATATGTGTTCATATAACACCATGTCTTGCTCGCACTATTACATTTCACGTTCAGTTAACCATGAAATCAGGGTAACAATTTCAAGTTTGCATATATATTTAACAGGTCACTTCATACTGAACATGTACACTAAGTCACAAGGTAATATGACCACAAACTAACTAAAACCAAAACTTTAACCTAACACGGGACGGACAGACGGACGGACACACAGAACTGAAAACACAATGATCCTCTACAATCGTAGGTTGGGCCTATATTTTATGATTAATACAATAATAATATGTGACCCGCCATGAAATTTCCAGGCTTATGGCGGTAAACGTCATAATGAGAAAACGTCGATGTAAAGAAACGTAACGTAATCGGGGCACCTGTTACTGTATGTCCAATTATATTATGCGGTAAAATAACGTTCCATTTTTCTTGACTTGAGGAATTTGGAATCTTATTTTAAGATAAACAAAACAAGTAAATTTTTTCCGTGAAATTAATCATTTAGGATAAAATACCGTTTAAAATTGCGTTCTAGATTCACACATTTCATTGATCAGAATTAAAAATAATTCATCGATTCATGCTGTTTGACTGTTTAATTTTATTCTGCATTAACAGATCTTTGATTAAATCACTTTGTCAAGATACATATACAAAATATATTCACAATAAGATAATAGATGAACATTAAAAGCATATTAAATAATACACAGCTCCTTGATTGTTTATTATATATTTTGGTATTCACTTTCTCAGCATTGGTGTAGTTTTCCTTAAGAGAAAGAAAAATGTTGAAGTCATTATTATTTAGATTGGAGATTCCGGGTACATTGTTGCCAAAACAACCGATTGGTTGATATAGAATTACAAATTCTTTAGTTATTTAGTTATTAAATCTACAATTATATTTTGATTAATTAAAAAAGACTAGAAACCCCTCCCCGGCCAAACAATGCCCCCCCTCCCGCAAAAAACAAAAAAACAATATGACAAGTTTCAAAGATAACTATAATAGATGAACATATATACATGCGAAAAATTGAAAAAATGAAAATTTTTGATAAAATGAAAAGTGACAAAAAATTACCATAATTCTGTTATTTTGCAAAATCTAGCAAAACAACTTTTCAGGGTATTTTGATATGTATACTTCATAGAAATGCAAAAACCTCAATTTGACCCTCTATAAGCCTGAAAATCTCATGGCTGGTCACATATTATGAAGATAAAAACATACAGTTGTCAATAATTCCATCAATAATTTCCTCTTTTGCTTGTTTATAAATCTCAAAAGTCCTGTTTCTGCTAATTGCAATCTCTTCATTTTTTGTATCTACAGATTGCATAATATATCTATCACTTCCCTCTTGGAATACTCCTATCTTTGAAATTGGCGAATACAAAAAATAAAAAAGCAATGTACATGTTCAGAATGCAAAATTGTCGAATGCAATTATATTCAGTGTAAAAATCTTGTTTATTATGTTTTTCGATGACACAAAAATCTTATAGTTAAACATTTATAATTTAAATAATTTCAAAATAGACAATATGAATTTAAATACAATTGTTATTTGCAATGATTTTGTTTAAAAAAGAATCATGAAACTGAACTTAAAATTTAACAAATTCAAACATACCATGCTGTTACTGCTTTCCTGGTCAGTTTGAAACATGAGTACAGCAGATTTCTTAATATCTTGATAGAAGGCATATTGCTAAAACCAAAAAATATTAATAAGTCTGTAATAATCAAAGTACTGAAGTACTGAACATCGGATGACCGCAGGTTCTTGTGTATGGTCAAAAGCACATGTCACAGAAACAGATCACATCTCTATACCTGAAACTGAGGTTAATTTACAGAGATTTTTTTTTCTGATACAAGTTCCTGCTTGGATGATGAATAAATGACAGGAAATTCAACCTCACCGTAATAACTATTATATTGTAGTGATACAAATCAGTATACCTTAGACTATTATACTAATATAATAATAGTTCCAGAGAATACACTGGTTTGTTGTTATATATTATATTAATATTACGGTTGCATGTATATATAATTTTCATCTATTTGTATATCATTCTATTCTACTATTATTATAGTGCAGTGCAAGTGCATGGTGGACACTCTTCTGTAAAAAAAATCAAAGCCTTAAAGGCTGTAAAAGCAATTGCTGCCATGTTAATGCTTTGTGGACTTTTATTTTTCATCCATATATATAAGAATTAAACCTGACAGGACAGGAGTGTTGACTAGTGAGAAGCAAGACGGTTTTAACTTTATATCAATAAAAGACTTTAGCAGGAAATCATTTTAAATATGTTTTATATTTCACAAGGAGACAACAAGTTTACCAGGCTAAAGTTGGGGTTAATTATACATGTGCTGAAACATATAACTAAAAAAAAAATCAATATGGATTGTCCCCTGGTAGTGTTTGTAACTGGGCAATAATTTCCTTTATTGATTTAATTTTAACAAGTTTCATAATTAATTTAAATTAACCATTCAGTTAAAACATTTCAACTTTCCAGACGCAAATGTTGAAAAACGGGCAAGAAATAAAATATCTTACAAGACATAAACATGTATAAATAAATATATATTTCAGCTTACTAAAAATATTTTCATAATGTTACTTTGACATCATTTCTTAAAACTAAGTCCCAAACATAATTGCTCAGTTGATATGTGTCATCCTCATGCGATACGAGATAACTATAATTCTGATGCAATCCCGAAAAGGGGGGTCATCACAAACAAACATGACATTAAATTGTCATTATACGAACTAGAACAAACAGCTCTATGTTGCTTTGATATTTATCAATTTTCAGGAAACATGTGAAATAAATTTCAGGTCCATTTCATTATAGTGCCTAACAAGATTGTGTGAGGTAGACGAAATTGACCTTAAAACGATCGTATTGTCTTTTGATGTCCAAAAATAGGCAGATCGGACATATAAGGATTTTATCTAATGACTACATAAATTTGGGATTTATTATTATTATAATATTCTAATGAAACTGAAAATTGTATTTTTTTGTTAGGATAAACAACAATTTTACCTGGCGTAGCCGTGCATAAAATGTTTTTCTGCGAAAAATGGTGTATTTAATGGAATAGAACGTTAATACAGTAAACTTTCTCTTTTTTCTCCGCAATAGGCTATCAAAAATAATTTATCTAATGTGTATGTGGAAAATTATGTGAAAAGATAAAAAGTGGCAATTGTTACCTTTCATACCTTAAGTTTCATTCATATGCCGCTATTATTGTTGTTGTTACCAATTATGTAAATCAATTGTATCTGATTTTATGCCCTTTATGGGCCCTGTAATTTGGAAAATACAAAAAAAAAATCTATTCATTGATAAAACGTAATATGGACTGGTCCAGTGTCCAGTTTGCAGGTCATTTAATTTACTGTACACATTCATGCACGCTCTGATTTAGTATTAGATACAATACAAAGGTAACAAAGAAACAGGCCGGTAACAAGCGTTGCCGGATAGTTTTTCTGCACGAGTAGTCAGGTGAAGGTCCGAGGCGATAGCCGAGGACCTTGACCTGACTACGAGTGCAGAAAAACTTTTCGGCAGTTTGTTTCCGGTCTGTTTTTTGTTACCTTTGTTTTGTATCTGACTTGTACGACGTTTCAAGAAAGAAGTAGTACATTTTGCATGTAGAAGAGGTAGCAAAATTTCACAGATTCGAAACTTAAATGGCCATATACCAGTTAATGTAAGTTACAGTAAGACAGTTTAAACAATCTTTTTTTTCACTTCCCTTCATCCTATAGTTTTTTTCTAAAGAAATTCAAGAATCTAATAATTTCATAAAAAAAGAACCATGTGAAGTAAAAGATGAATGTCGTACACATTTGAGACTTTTAAAAATGCATCTTCGCAAGTAAGTAATGTATGAAAAAGATTTCAGAGGTAAGCAAGCTAACATTTGATTTTTATTTGGGGGAAAACGGAAAGGGGGCTGGGGGTTAAAATAAATTTAAAGCAAACAGGCTTGATTCTTTTTTGTTGAAAACATGCAGGATGTGTCATTCCATTACCCCATTCCGCCTTAAAAAAATAATAAAAATCGTAAGTTTGCTCCCAAATATATAAATTCAATAACAATATAGAAAGAATGAATTTCCTATTTCATTAGTGAATGAAATGGTACGAAAAAATCGATTTTGTCTTGTTAAAATCACCAATATAGGCATATATTTTGGTTGGTTTTTTTTTAAATTATGCTTATAGGTTCTTATATATGTCTCTAATAGTGTTGGTCAGGATCAAACACGTGTCACAATATGATCCAATCGCAGCTTACTGTCCAAAATTGGTGACATAAGTTGAATGATTTTCTTCAAGATTTGCTGCCTATTTGAACATGTATTACACGGACACTTTTTATTTATAGGATCAATCGTGCATTGGTGAGTTGAAAGGGATTTTATCTTTTGATTAGATTTGATTTTTTTATATATATTTCCTGTCTTTTTTATTGAAATGTAAACGTCGGTACCAGCATTTCTTTACTTTCAGCATTGTCCAGAATACTATTCATGTCCATATATTGAAAAAATAAATACATTTACGGACCGACCTTTAGCTACAAAAGGGGGGGTATGTTTTTTTTTCTGAGTAAGAAAATGATTTAGTTTATCAACGCTATCACCCAAATATTTTTTTTCGAAATTAGCACTTTTATAAACGGTATTCGGAAAATCAGGAATCAGAACATTATTTTGTCATCTGATTGACCACAATATATTTTTTTCTCATAATATTGGGGATCAGAATTTTTTTTAGGAAAAAACATAACTCCCCTTTTGAAGTTAAATGGTCAATCCCTTAGTGTACTGATATGAATAGTAATATACTGGAATTGTTTGAAAAAAATATAGTTATTGAAGCCAACGTAAATATTTTAATGAAAAAGACAAGAAATATGTCGTTGAAACAAAAAGTTCAAATCTAATTGAAATTTAAAGTGCCCATGAACTCACTGATCATGCACGAGTGATTCTATTCATAAAAAGTGTCCGTGTAACAACTAAAAAGTGTCCGTGTATCATCTAAAAAGTGTCCGTGTAACACCCGTTAATGTACTGTTTTTCTATAGCTCTGCTGGGGGCAAAGTCGTACAAATCGATATACTCGTACGAAAAAGCATGAACAGTTTGAAGGTAATCTAATAATAACTTAATCCAATCAAATTGCATAAGATTCAATAACAATGTCCAGTCCACATCATAATGAGTAATAGGGGTAAACTTGGTAGGGAGAAAATGACAGATATTTCAAGTTAATATTTATGCAATAACGAATTAAAATTTGTCAACCAAAAGTTTTGCTACAATTTCAAAAACATGTCGTTCTGTATGGGTATAGTTTTCGGATCTTTCATTAGCGTATTTAAGGCTATAAAAAGTTTGGGCTTCAAAAGTTCACACAATTATTGACTTTATACAGAAAATTCGTCCTTGTAAAACATTTAATAGTTCACAAATGATACGCGATTTTAAAGTAAAATTATTTCTTAAAACACTGCAAAAAATTTCATTCATATTGATAAAGTGGTATCGTCATAAAGTGCGTTGAAATGAACAGTGGTATAGCAAACATCGAATTTCCTCACAAAATGTTATCACACACTATAGTAAGGGGAGTCAGTTAAGTTTGTTTATTTTTAGATTACAGGTAATCATTTGACATTACGTATACAACCTGTGTGACCTGTGTAGTGATTTTGATTTTACGATAAATTCATGAATGAATGAACGATAATTTTATGAATGAACATGAGCACCTGACCTCTTTCTTAAACACCAATTAAACATATAAAACCGTATTTAAAAGGAGATAATTCAGTCAAATTTTCAGTACTAAATCAACAACTGAAATGATTCCATTTTTTGATGAAACATCGTACGAACGGAAAACGGAATCGCAGGTATAAAAATGCACTTTTTTCCCTTGTAATGACCGCGGATCTATAATTTTTATAGATCGGTTGAAATCCCAAAACTAATTTGCATAATGGAAATTTAGGCGATAGCAATACATCGGAATGACCTGAAGGTCATCCTCTGTAAAAATCATACTTGCTATGTTAAATGTTTAAAATACTTTGTAATGTAACGTGAACACAAGATAAGCGTGTCTAATTTTCATTATAGAATAGGTTCATTAACAGTTTGAAACTGGATCCGAAATGTTTTATTTACAAACTATTATGAATTATTACCGAACTAAAATATGTACAACTGCTCTCGCTTTAACAGTTAAATTTATCTAGTATACACTCGAGATCATTTACAACATATACAACTATTACAAATGTACGTGTACAAAGACCA